AACCCACTATTTGGTGGCGCCAATAGCGTCTTTTTGGCACCAAAAGCGCCACGGTTCTAGAGATTTCACTATATTTTAGTATTTGAACCATAACTTGAGTTGTACTCATCCGCTTGACACAATCTTGGTCTTGTTGGAAAGCTAAGAAAAATATATATAACCTCCATTAAGACACAAGGGTCCAAACTTATCATATAGGATATGAAAAATGGACAAAAATCCATAATATCCTTATATTTACATTAATTCTCAACCCCAAAGGTTTTCTTTCACCTAATAGAAATTATATAACAATTTCAATACATGATTCTTGCCATTTCAAGGCTCACATGATATCCAAAGAGGCTCAATTACATCAATGTACTTCAAAATGATTACATACCAAAGACTTAGAAATAACAAGTGATCAAAGTCCCAAATTAGGTGCACAAGGGCTATACAACAGCAATGATCAACTTCTAAGTCTTATATGCATTCATCTATCACTAATGCATCAAAATATCTCAAATATCATCTATCATATGCACGCTACTCAAGCCCTTTGCCTCGCCCAGTATCATCTCTGTTGACACCTGAAATAGCAATCCCCAAACAGGGTGAGATAAAACTCAATAAACCCAGGGTTCTTGAAGAATTTCTCCAACCCCAGAGTTCACTTCCTGCATGAAGGGTTAGTATACACATGGCATGAACTACATCATATATCCAGAGACAATAACAGTAATGATTTAACTGCAGCATACTCATGCATTCAAATGGCCAAAGAATTAAAGAATCAAATCATCACACAAGCTTTAGTTGCATCTTAGTCCTTTCCACTAAACTTACAACCTAGCCCCTAGTGCTTGTCCATTGGCCCTTTCTCCAATGACACAACAATACTATATGAATGCAAACATACCATAATACTAACATTACCACTTAATCATCCATTCATTAACCATTACTTCCTTAAAAGCAATGGTGTAACAACAAGAAGGATTAACCTCCAAGATCCAAAGGTTTACCTCTTGATGTTTCCCCTCCTTTTGCAAGCTTTCTTCTAGCTCACTTATCCACTCCAACCTTTCTTGGTATGTCCACTTGGCAATTCCTTCCAATCACCAATAGACCCTATTCAAGAGTGTAAAATCAATCAACATACATCCATGAATACCTCTATATTCATCAACAACATAGAAAATCCATGCTCCATCAACAAGCTTATGAACTTACCAAACAACCAGTCTAATCAAGCTCCTTGGATTCCACCAATGCTTGATCACTCAATATGGTCCACTTGCCTCAATCCTAGCAATAACATGAACACCATCAATCAAGGCTCAACAATGCAAGAAAATCCAGAATTTCAAGCATAATTTTCCAAGATTATTGAAACTAACTCAAATCACAAATTAACTTCACTTCTACCGTTTATTTACCATTTCTAACAACTTTTACAAAGGAATTTGGTCTCAATCCCTCTCCAATATACCCCAATATTCATGCATCTTCATAAACCAAAACCCTAAACATGCACCTCATTCAAATGAACCAAAATAGATGGAAAACTTATCACAATCCAACCACAATGGTCCAAGGTGAGGGTTCCAAACCACAAGAATAGAGGACTCCACCTCAAGCTCCTCTAATGTCAAATTTTTCCCCCCTTCCACAAGCAATATCTCACTCCACAATGGTTCCCACTCAAAAATAAGTTAGGAATAAGAAAGAGGAATTTGAAGTGGTTTTGGCTTTGGAATGAGTTGATTTGGATGAGAAATGAGAAAATTATGATCTAGGGCTTGAAAAGCTTCTCTCCTCTCCCTTTCACTCTGGTTGCTGTCGAGGAAGAAGAAGGAAATGAGGGAGGTTATGTGGTTTGTTCACTTAACTTACTTAAGTTAAGTTCAACCGGGTAAAAGCTTATCTATCTATTTAATTCTGTTCTCTTTCAAACTTTACCCAAAGGTCTGAAATATTTTTCTAGGAATATTTCCACTTTTACTTTTATATTTTGGGTACCTATGCCTACACCCATTTTTATTCCATAATTTTCACTTACTGCACTTTTTACCTCAAAAGTGATCCTAATTAATTTAATTAGGCATTTTACTTATTTCAACTCACTAATACATGCTAATTTACTTAATTACATATAATTTACTATTTAATTAGGTTAGGGATATTATATTTAACCAATTCAATATCACAACGTATAATAAGCCTAGCATACCTTTTATACCATTTCAACATAATAAACCCCCAAACCATAGGTTGGCTGAAAATCATATATAGTGTTTCCAAATCATTTTCAAATTTCCAACACATCCAAACTTACATTCATACTCTATGACCATAATCTCTCATAAACACACCATTACACTATCAAATTGAAATTTCACAATCCATGACTTTTCCCCCAATATGTTCATGAACAAAGAATCATGGAACCAAACATTAAAACCATAGGAATTAAGCTATCTTACCTTGAATGACTTCTATTCCATCAATACTTCAAATTCCATGGATTAAATCACCCAAAATCATGAAAATTCCTCCACTTTGTGAACAGTAAATCGAGCTGCATAAGGGGAAAAATCTCTCACTCCAATACTTCCCAACTAGAAATGGTGGGTGGGTTTTGATCTTTAGAGGCTAAGGAACAAATTCCATGTTAAGTGTTTTTTGATTTGATGAATGAAAATAGATGGAAATGGAGAAGGAATAAAACAAACCCAAACCTTAAAGAAGAGGAGATGGTCACGGTTTCTGTTGGAGGAAGGAAGGAGAAGAAGAATTTTAATGTTGTGTCTTCTCTCTCCTTGCTATGTCACTTAAGTGAGTGAGCATTTGAGTTGACTTTGACTTCCACTCTACTCTATAGAACACTTCTAACTTAAACCACTTATAACTTAACCTTAAAAACATAATTTAATAATTATGACATCATTTACATAATTGCCTGGTAATTTTCATAGCAACGCTTTACCCGGCAGAATTTTACTATTCATATATATATTTTTTCTCGAAAGGTGTCAGAATGCTCTAAATCATAAGCTTATATTAATTTTACCATTCTTATTACCAAAATAATCCTTTTTCATATTATCATATTAATTCCATGATTTACTTGTCATAAATACCCATTAAATCGCTTAATAGTGTGAGTTTTTTTGCAGAACTGCTGTAGCGATTAAATTACCTGTTGTAGCACATTTCCATATTCATTTGATTCTTGAACTCACTTGTTATTGCTTGCCTTGACGATGTAGGTTGTTATATAACTTAACATAGTTAAGTTACTTCCACCAGGTAAAAACTTATCTATCTATTTAACTCTGTTCACTTCCAAAACTTTACCCTATGATCTGAAATATTTTTTTAGGAACATTTCTAATTTTACTTTTTTATTTTAGGTACTTTTGCCTACACATATTTTTACCTCATAATTTTCACTAACTACACTTTTTACCTCAAAAGTGACACTAATTTATTTAATTAGATATTTTACCTAATTTAACCCACTAATACAAGATTAATTGCCTAATCATATGTAATTAATTAAATATCGTGGTGAGAGATATTATATACTTCCCAAAGTCCGAAGTTATGGAGAAGTTCATAGCTTGAGCAATTTCATTAGCTCTCAAATTGTTGACATTCCTAGAAAACAACACTCTAGATTTATCATTGCTCACTTTCTAACCTGACGAACTGCAAAAACAGGAGTGGGGTTTCCTAATAAGGTTGGCGTGATCCAAGGAAGCTTCGACGAACAACAAGAAGTCTTTCACCAAAAACAAGTGACTAATTGGAGGGCCTTTTTTCCCTAAGAACGACAAGTTTCCATTGCTTGCCAGATTTTGCTTGACAAATCAAATGAGTCAATCTCTCCATGCACAACACAAACAGATACGAAGAAAGAGGGTTTCCCTGTCTAATTCCACAGGTTGGATTGAAGTTTCTAGTAGTGTTACCTTCTCAAAGCACATTGATAGAGATAGTGATAACACTCAGCATAATCAACTCAATTGCCACCATAATGAGGCCTGCTTCCAACAGCGTCTTCTGAAGGAAATCCCAGTTAACTCTTTCATACACCTTTTCGTGAGACTATGTGAGACTATCATTTCATAAATTCTTATGTAAAATTTCAGCATCCTACCTCCAATTAATTAATTATATATCAATTGATTAACTTGCTAACAACTTGTTTTTGGTATGCGGAAAGATTATTTAATTTATTAACTACACGATACATGGATAAAAAATTATATAAAAATAATGTATCCAAGTTAATAATTCATAATCATTGACTCGTTAATAGTCATCATCATAGTTAAATATGATTATCTACCATAATTAATGAAGAGAAAAAATAAGTATGATGTTGTAGGACAATTCTCTTGTCATGCTATAGAGACAATAAGTGTGGGTCCACCATATTTAAAATAAAAAGAAAAGAGAAAAAGATGTAGCACAAATATTGATGTATGTATAGAAAATTTTACATTTGTCATGCAAGATGACAAATGCAAAACCCATCAGGGGGCGTTTGATTGAGGGAAATTTTTTTATGAATAATAGGGAAATAAGATTGTGGGGAAATGGTTGGAAAGTGGATTTGGTAGGAAAATGTAAAAAAAGTTGTTTGGTAGGGAAAATTTTTACCGGGTAAATTAGGTAACTTTTGTAAAGTCTATGTTTGAATTTTGGTAAAATATAGATGAGAAAAAATGTGTTATGACAAAAATACCTTTATTTAAAAAAAAAAAAAAGGGTATTTAGCCTTGCTACCCAATTAATCAATTATAAATAATTTATTGACTTAGCGTAAAGTGTATCCTGTTCGTGCAACAATTTTCCCAACACACGTTACTAATAAATAATTAACTCATTTTTGTTCATGTATATATGGAATCTCGCTACTTTTTTTGGTGGTTGTAGCTTTTAGCTACCCGAATGATTCCATTTGTACGACTTTCGAGATGTGTTTCGTGCGGTATTTAAAAAATGATTCCATTTGTCCTTTCCTGAAATATCAATATCCCATGGTTCATAACAAATTCGATCTGCTTACTCTTCACCACCACCACCACAAAGCACAACTAGACTCTGTTTCCTTGTTCCACAAACTCTTATTTGTGTCGTCGTTTCAGAACCAGAGCACAAAAATGGCTCAAGAGATCAATGGTGACGCCGTGATGGTCATTGAGAGTTGTCGAGTGGCTCCTCCACCAGGCTCTGTTCCCTCAACAACTCTTCCCCTCACTTTCTTTGATATTCCATGGTTTTACACTAAGCCCGTGCAACGCATCTTCTTCTACGAGTTTCCCTATCCCAAACATCACTTCCTCCAAAAAGCACTTCCAAATCTCAAACACTCTCTTTCCCTCACACTCCAACACTTCTTCCCCTTTGTCTCCAATCTCATCGTTCCTCCAAACCTCAACGTCCCTTTCATCCGTTACCTTGATGGTGACTCTCTCCTCTTCACTGTCGCAGAGTCCACTGCAGACTTCACCCTCCTCGTATCTGATTCACCACAAGATGTTCGATATTGGCACCCTCTTGTTCCTACGCTTCCTTCACCAGAGGACGGTACACGTGTCATCCCTCTCATGGCCATTCAGGTTACGATTCTACCAAACTCTGGATTCAGCATCTGTCTCACGTTTAACCACGTTGCTTGTGATGGAAAATCACTTCATCATTTCATGAAGTATTGGGCTTCTCTTTGCAAGGCAAGAGTGGATTTGGCTTCCATTGAAGCCTCTTTGTCTCTTCCTTCCAATGATAGAGATAAAGTTAAAGACCCAAAGGGGCTTAAGCTCATTTACTTACGAGAACTACAAGATTTGGCTAAGGAATTTTCAGGCTTCAAGCGAGATGTTTTCACTAACAAGGTACGTGCCACTCTTGTGTTGAGTCGTGAACGTGTTGAGAAACTAAAGAAATGGGTCTCTCTTAAATGTACTAGTTACTCTTCAGGGACATTGCATATATCAACCTTTGTTGTTACTTGCTCCTTGATTTGGGTTTGTATGATAAAATCAGAGCAGAACAAAGGTGATTGTGTTGCAAAAGACTCTGATAAACTCTGCTACTTGGTGTTTGTAGCAGATTGTCGTGATCTTCCTGAGTTTTCATTACCTTCAACTTACTTTGGGAATTGTCTAGCCACTTGCATTGTTGCAATCAAGAGGAGTGAAATAATGGGACAAAATGGGATCGTTGATGTAGCAAATGTTATTGAGAGGAAAGTTAGAGATTTGAAGAGTGATGCTTTGAGAAATGCTGAAACATTGATGTCAGATTTTAGAGAATTAGGGAAACCAGATCAATCTTTTCTAGTAATTGCAGGGTCACCAAAATTGGCCGTGTACCAAACTGATTTTGGGTGGGGAAAGCCTAAAAGATCTGAAGCAGTGCACGTTGATTCATCACCATCAATTTCTCTCTCTGATTGTAGAGACAAAGAAGGTGGAATTGAGGTTGGAGTGGGACTTGAAAGGATTCGAATGAATAATTTCATCAACATCTTAGAAGAACAACTTAATAATATTATTAGTTTGTGAATGAATCAATCGCGCATACAAGACATGTATTTTTCAAGGTTTCCTTTCTTAGTGATTTTTTATTTTTTCAGTTCGAGTAAGCATTTCACTTTATAATGTACTTGTAGTTCTTAATCATCAGTGATTGCTTAATGTGTCCAGTGTAGCTCTTCATGCCGTTTGGTTCAGCAGAAATTTGTTGAATACTAGGAAAATATAATTACAACGGAAATGGTTGGAAATTGAATTTGATATGAAAATCTAAAAAAAGTTGTTTGGTTGACCGAAATATTATCAGAAAAATTTATTTAAATTTGCAAAATCTATGTTCGGGAGAAACTTCGTACCTGTTTTTTCACTTCCCCAGTTAACTCAAAATAACACATCTCAAGTGGCATTCTATAACAGTAAATTTCATCTAAAAATCAACACAAAAGTCGTTTCCCCATCTATCCTATTTGTCTAGTATTTTTTTTAAAAACCTGAACCAAACATGATATTTTCCAATACCCACTTACACTTTTCCATCAATCTCAAAATAAATCTTCAACCAAACACTACCTACAAAAAGTTAAAACATACTTTCGCTTTTAGACAGTTTGAATCTCGGTTCTACTAAATTTGTTTATTGACATTGGTAATCGTTGAACTTGTCCCCTTGACTCAAATTAGTATACAGCCCAAAAAAATTTAACTATATGAGGGGAGTCCGGGCTGAACCTTTAACTATCACTGTTCCCCCGCACTCCGGATTAGTCCCATAGCCGGCTCAAAGAGTCGAAGCTTGTGGGGATACCGGAGGGAGCCAACTCGTCTCAAAGAGATAATTAGGGTTGGGTAACTCCAAAAAAAAAAAAAAAAAAAGAATTAGGATTCTTTAAGATGTGTTTAACAGTCATAGTCAACGTACATAACACGGCACTTATTTGATTTGTAATTTAAATTCAAAAATCAATATAAAAATTCTGTATTAATAAAAGAAATAATTAAATAAATATATATTTTGCTATGTGTATTTTTATCTTTTAGGTCCTCGAAATTTTAAAGCCTACAGAAATGATAAATATAAAGGTATCATCATACAAAAATAAGATAATATCAACAGGTTTGATAAATGAAATAATATTGCCGACATGAATAATAAGAGAAAAAGATATGGGATTATTGAACAAGTAATGAGAAATGAGTTAGATGACTACCCTAATGAAAAGGATTATGGATATTTACCAAAAAAAAAAAAAGATGATGGATTAATTATGTCACTGACAAATGCATAGTAGTGATAATAGTCTTAATTATTGACGAGTAGGAGAATAATTGATTTGCATTATAGTTACTTATATATTTTGTTTATTGAATCCTTTTTGAAATATAATATTAATTATATTATATATTTTTAAATTATTTTTTATTATATTTATGTATCTTACGATTGGATATAATTTACGATATATGATAAAAAAAATTGGCTAAACAATATACGATAGATATTGTTATTCAACAACTTGGTTTTTATAAAAAAGATAAGAAAATTGATTTGTGTGTTTTCTTAACAAAGGTTTCAATTGGAAGAGTCCATACTCCATAGCTGCAAGTGATATCAATTCAACAGTGACCTTCAACTCATCAACGTCCAAGTGTTTGGTGCTCTTTGATGTATTAAACATTGTAACAACAGTTACGGACAAAGCCAAAACCATAGATGAATGGATTCAACTAATTTCATCACCACATTTTGGAAACCAATTCAATGGTAGCTAGGTTGGATACTGAATGGATTTGTGACCATAACAAAAAGATGAAAACTGTAATCCTACAATTGTGCATTGAGGACTAGTGTCTAATCTGCCAACTATTACATATGAATGATATTCCATAGTCCCTCAAGAGCTTTTTTATGGACTTTGACTTCAAATTTGTTGGGTATGGATTAAACTTGATATAAAAAAGCTAAAGAACGAATATGAGTTGGACTGCAAATAGGACATTGATGTATCCACATTGGCAGTGACACAATGGCTTGATTGATTTTCTTCTCGAGCACGTGAAATATTTGTCAAAGGATATGTGTACTATAACAACCCTAACCTGCTAAATGACTAATTAAGGATTTATTTTGATGATTTGAAAGGTAAAATTGAGTTAATTATGTGATTTAGAGCATTTTAGTACTTTTGATAAAAAGTGTGAATAATAATTTTTATCGGATAAAACACAATATTGTGAAATTCACCGATAGAACTCAAAAATAAAAAAATTTAATTTCTGCGAAACAAATTATTTTAGGACTAAAAATATCATATTAATTAAATTAAGTTTTAAGTTGAATAAATTAGTAGTAGTTTAAGTGATAGTTAAAGTCAAATAAACTCATGACCACTTACGCAACTTAGTTTGTCATCAAGTTTCACTATTCAAGCTGCACCTTCTTCCTCCCTTTTGTGATAAACCCGTGGCAGCCATGGAGTATAGGGCATAGGATTGCTTTTCTCTTCTCCTTCCATTTTCATCTACTTCTACTCATCGAATCCAAAAACCTTCATCCTGAAAAATGTTCTTTAGCTTATTTGGAAGAGAACCTAGCTCATTTCATCTTGGGAACCATTATTTGAAGAGATCCTTCTCCATGAAAGGGGTTGTTTCTATTCATTCAAGAAGCAAAAATCCATAAATTTGAGTGGTTCCATGATAGAGTTAATCTCTATCGAAGAAGGAAGAAACTAGAAGAAGGGGTGAGAAGAGTGAAGACTTAGAGACGAGAAGAAGAAAAAAATGCTCAATTCTTTATTTCTTAGTTATTCGACATCTGTACATTGCCTTTCCTTTTATTCACTATACTTCTACCTTTGCTTTACACGTCATCCTTACACTAAATATCATACTACTATCTTTTACACTTTTCTTTTATTTACAATTCATCTCTAAATCTTATTGGCTTTCTCTTTTCTCTCACAGCTTTCCTTCTTACAATGCTTGGCTCTTTTGGCTGGTTCACATCTTCAAGGTTGTTTTCATCTGTTTCTGTAGCTGCAGTTGCACCTTCAAGGCTCTCCTTGACTGTTGCTGATGTATCAATACTCCTATCATTGAAAACAACCTTGTCCTCAGAGTTGAAGGTAGGAAACTGCTGTTGAAACTCTTCCACACTTTCTCATGTAGTTTGCTCAGTAGGCATACCCTCCCAAAGTATCAAAACTTCAGCAGTACCTTCACTGTTCTATCTACAGGCCAAAATCTGTTTGGATTGCATGACTGGTAAACCACCAGTAAACATCTCTGGTAAAGGAAATGGAGAGATATCCTGGTCTCCTTGAAATGGTTTGAGGAGTGACACATGGAAGGTATGGTGGATCTTGGCTGTTGCAGGTAATGTGAGTTTGTAAGCAACCTTCCCAACCTTTTTTTCAATAGGATAGGGTCCAAAATATCTGTAGCTAAGCTTATTAGAAGTGCGGGGAGCAAGTGAAGGTTGTCTATATGGATGAAGACGAACCCAAACTAAGGTACCTAGCTTGTAATGAACATCTCTTCTATGGCTGTCTGCTTGTTGTTTCATAATTTTTTGAGCTCTTTGTAAGTTGCTCTTGAGCTGTTGTAGTAGTATTTGTCTATCATTCAATAATGTGTCCACCTCTGGTGTTGTAGCAGTGGTAGGAATATAATCTCATATTCCAGGGGGTTTACGACCATATACAATTTTGAAGGGTGACATGCTAGTTGTCGAATGGGATGCAGTGTTGTAACACAATTCTGCCCATGGTAGCAGGTTGGACCAGTTTTTATGGGAATCAGCTACAAAGCACCGTAAGAATTGTTCCAGTACTCGATTCACTACTTCCGATTGACCATCCGATTGTGGATGATATACAGTAGATCTTCTCAAACTCGTTCCACTCAGCTCAAACAATTCTATCCAAAATTTGCTGAGAAATATAGGATCTTTATCTGAAATGAGAGACTTTGGAATGCCATGGAGTTTACAAACCATTTCTGTAAAAAGATTGGCCACCTTCACAACATTAAATTTTTTTGGTAAGGATCCAAAGTGTGCCATCTTTGAGAGTCTATCCATAACTACCAAGATTGCTGTATGCCCATAGGAGTTAGGAAGGCCAATGATGAAGTTCATGGAGAGGTCTTCCCACATTATCTCGAGTATCACAATGGGCTGAAGGAGACCTGCAGGCTTCTGTGTTGGAATCTTGACTTGTTGACAAACAAGGCAAGAGTTAATAAATCTCTTAATATCCTTTTGCATGCCATTCCATAAGAAGCTTGTAGAGACTCGAGACATTGTTTTCTGTATGCCTATATGACCGCCAGTCAGTGTTGAATGACATTCCTTCATAACCTTATGAATCAAAGGTGAGTGAGGATCAAGGAGTAATTTCCCCTTTTTTAACAATAAACCATCTCTGATCTCTAAACTATGGTCTGTACTCTCAGACTTTGATAATAGTTGCTGATGTTGCTGGAAAAATTTCGAGTGTAAATTCTCTTCCCGTAACTCATCTAAAAGGGAAAATTTGTGGACTGAGAGGGCCATAAAACTCATGATTTCAGGCCGTCTTGATAAGGCATCAGCTGCTATATTTTCCTTGACTGAGATGAACAATACCGTATGTATGTATTAATGATGGTGACAGATTAGTGATATGCTAATTGTATTCAAATTTTTGGAACTAGGTTGTGATCGTGGTTGTGAATCCCTGAACCCGAGATTTATTGAAGAACTTTGCTTGCGAGGTAAGCTTTCGGTCCTTAGGGTTAATCCCCCGTTTGTTCCACCAAACTCCGAGGGAGTGTGGTAGTTTGATATGATATGTTGAAAATGATTTGTTATTTGGTCCATGTATATGTATGTATGTTTGTGTGCCACACAAGACGGTGTTTTCTTGTGTGAGGCATAAGACGGTGTTTCCTTATGCATAATATGAGACGGTGTTTCCTCATACGGTATGTTGCAAGACGGTGTTTCCTTACGTAATGCGTACTGATGGGACGAAAATTCGTTCCCATCTAAGCCCATTTTGATGGCAAAATACCATCTGTTCCCTCATCTGATGAGCAACTTTAGCACTAAAAGCACATGTTTAATATCTTTATGACAAAAACACAGTAGGGAACATATGATGACGTAATCCTTTGGAAAATATATAAAAAAAGGGAACGGATTAGG